ATGCAACGTTACCCGAGGCGGCTGGGCCGCTCAGTGCAGGTGTCACTAGGAACGGCTGAGCCGCCCAGTGCGGTAGCGTTGAGTCGACAGGGCCGCTCGGTGCAGAACCGCTCTCCGAGACGGCTAGGCCGCTCGGTGCCTCAGCAGGTGCTGCCTTCTTCAATTCACCGACGGCCATGCGAATGTGCACATAATTTTGCACACCCCCACTCGCCAACCGAAGGCGCTTCCCCTCTGGAGGCATTCCCGGACAGATATCCAGACCACGCGGCAAGAGGTAACGATCATCTTGCCACGGGAAAAAGTCCGCACATGCCAACCCCCGCTTCAGGAAGTCGAGGAATGCTTCAGAACAATATGAATGGATCGCCCCACTCCCAGACCCGCCTTGGACGGCCGGGAATGCCTTGTGACCCAAAGCTGTTGCGAACGGACGTGTATTGAGCACAAACCTGGGAACATTGCCTTCTACTGGGCTCCAGTCTTGCCAGTACATGACTAGCTCATTGACGGTGGCCTCTTGCGCTGTGCACCCATCAGCTCTTGTTGTCCTTGTTGCGCTACCCCCCTGGACGGCTGAGCCGCCAGAGGCTTGGCAAAAAACAATGCGGCAAGTTTAGCGGTGTTAAACATGTGCTCAGCGCACAACTGCCCCGCGGTCACTTTAACCATTTGTCTGCCCTTATCCATCTTGCAATCATCATGTTCAGGAGCAAAATGATAAAGGCCCCCTGGGCGGTGCCGCAATTTGCGGTAAAGGCTCACACCGTCGAGAATCATTATCCGCGGGAAAATCCCCATGGCTTTGTATCTTTCAATCCGACGGTTCATTGTAGCCCTGACAAGAGTGGCGACATCATCCCACACCTGGTTCACGCCAGATCCGTTTGACCGCCAACATCTATGGTCTCCGCCAACATACGTGATTTCTATTGCTCCGTCTCCCGCACGGAGGATCGCGTCGCCCACCAGCATAATCGCGTTTTCTACAATTATTCGGAGGCTTCCAGCGACAGCCGTTGGGTTCTCTTGTCGCTGTGGCCCAGCGCCAACTCCGATCAATTGACTGGTTCCATCAACAATGTCATTAAAGTTCCAGAAGATGAAACGGATCGGCGTGTGAGTCCCTTTTATATAAGGACTGCGCTGGTCCCAATCAAATTTCATGGCCTCCTCCTTAAGTTCGGGGGCCATGCGCCCACTCATGACCTTCTGCGAGCTGCCATGCACATGTTCCCGCAAATGGTACTCGGGGAGAAGACGGGGCTTGTTTTTTTTTGGGGGGGGCGCATCACGAAACGAGATCGTAGAATCCGAGACAATGTGGGCGGGATAAGACCAATACTTGTATGCCACACTGTCCATCAAGCACAATGGATGGAATAAATATGTCACTGGCTTTCCTGCGTCCATCATGGCCGCGATATCCTCGCCAACAAATGGAACCCATGAGTGCCCATTCATTCGGGCAATCTGCGTGATGGCCTGGCACTTTTGAAGAAATGTTAACTTAAGTGCCCAGTATTTCAACTGCGGGTCTGTGATATCAACATAAAGCTGAATAATCTCATTCACCTTGGATTGCCATTCCTTCGTCGGTGCCCTGGGATTCGGCGCAATGTTCTTCTGCAGCCGATGATAGTCAAGAATGTTCCAGGGACCCCGCCCAAGGTAGGGTGGGTCGTCCTGTTCGCCACTTGCCGTTGTTGGCCCCTCGTCTGGGGGCCCGCCCCCACCGCCCCCCCCAAGGGGGCTACCCGGAGGAGGGGCATCTCCCGAAGGAAAACCTCCCGAGCCAAGTGGAGCTCCTCCACCGCTGGCTGGGCCGGGTGGAGAGCCGCCGCCTGCCCCGCCACCGGCTTGGCCGCGCGGGGCAGGCGGGCCCGAGGCTGACCCGGCGGATGACCCGCCGGCAGCCTGTCGGCCGACACCAGGATTGTCCAACGAAGACTGAGCAATGACAGCGTCTGTCTGATGACTCGCCGAATCGACTGGGTCGTTCGGGGCCTCTGCTGCCAAACGTGGCCTTTTCGACGGCGATTGCCCATCGGCCTCGCCACCAAGTCCAACCTTCGCAAGCCAAGCATCGAAGTCGGAGGGGCGCGACCACGACGGTTGCTCCTTGCGCCAATGAATCGCCTCTTGTGGGGAGACCTCAAAGCAATTTGCTCCGGCTGTAGTGGCGAGAGCCTCCTCGACGACATGCGCGGGCGTGTGGGACAAACCCCTGGCAACAGGCAGGGCAAATATCGTGCCCCAACCATCCCCAATGGCTTTGCCACGGGGGGCGTTCTCGGTGAGGGCCCCAAATATTCAGCCACAAGTCTGGAGCACCTTCTGCCCATCTGTCCCTAACTGGGGCGCTCGCAAAGTCTCCGTGCATCGTCTTCTGCCGCAAGGCTGGGCCAACGGTGGGACCCGCGACCTCTCCTTGTTCAAGAGTTCGGACTGGGCGACGAGCGTCCCCCGGTGCACTTGTATACAACCTACAGACCAACCTCGTCATTTCATCTGGGTAAGATTGAAAGAACGTGCCCACCGGGATTTGGTCAAGATTTGGGGGGGCACAATCGAAACGGCACGTTTCCAATCTTTCGAACGCAGTCCAATGTACTGTCCACGGATCCTGCGAGACTTGGGAAAACAGACGTTCAAAGATCGTCTGTGATGCGTCAGTTAGGTAAGCCTTCAGTGCGGTAGCGACTTGGTCGTTCCGTCTGTATAACATGTCATGTATCCACATGGTGAAGCGCCAACTCCATCCCAGTTTGCGAACAAACTTGGTGGTCCCCGTGTAATTAGGCCTGGGCCATTCTCTTTTTATCGGGAAAACAACGGAAGATGGGTTTCTCCTTTCGGGAACTATCTTTTCCTTGAACGGAGATAGCTAACTCTTTTGGCAGACTGGCTGTCTTGGATGGCTTCCTCAGTAGCTCTTTCACGAGCTGCGACTTCTTCTGCGAAAATCATCACAACAGCCTCCATTTCGATGTCTTCATTCATCGCGACATTGCTTGGGCTAAAAGGATTAGCCTCTTCCCCAGCCGGCTTGGCCGGCGGGGAAGCTTCCCCACTCGGCTGAGCCGGTGGGGTAGCCTCTCGAATTGGGTTAGGAGGAGCCTTTACATTGGGCTCAACCTGGGGATCTCGCTTCTCAGGCGACTCGGGAGCGAGTTCGTCTATGATATCATCCGAGCAAACCGAAGCCACGTCCTCCCCCGACGGCTTGGCCGCTGGCTGTACTGCCAAACAGAATTCCTACCTGGCACACAAGCACCCACGAGCGCAAGACCATTCTCGCACGGCGCTGGCGGGAGGAGAGGCCGCAACAGCTGCAGCATCAACGACAACAGGGGGAGGTGATTTGGGCATGGGTTACCGTCGCATGCGAAGCGAAACGGCAGACTGTTCGCTGGTTCGAACCACGGGGGTGCTGAGCCCCAGGGCCTGTCACGACACGGCTCTGGATCGAAAGCTGGCCTTGGGGACGGCGGGTCGGCATCCCCGGGGCGCCGCGTGGCAACCAAAATGTGGGGACAACCGGCCGCCGTGCCAAGGCCGACCGTGGGTCCAAGAGGCTGGAGCTACCGCCCGCTCGCCCGCGCTGCCGCGTGCGCGCCGGCGCCAATCTGAAGTGTGCGCGACCTCGAAATGACCACTGCTGCTGTGTCGCTGCGACGCCCGCGCCTCATCTGGACGGTCGCGGCGCAATATGCAGCAACCGAACGCTCACGCAGCAGCAGGAGGAAGAGGCAGAGGCGGAGGGCGAGAGGGGCTGCCAGGGGCTGCCAGGGGCTGCCAGGCTGCCAGGGTTCGTGTCAAACCAGAACTCCGTAGAAAGGGCGCAGCCACTCTGGCATCGGACTGGCCACGCATGCACTGGCATGAGGGCCTGTGCGGAACTTTGGGGGGACCCCGAATAAGTGGCCAAGTCTGGTTCGTTCGGTTTTTCGGCTCCTCTTTTGAAGGCCTATTGGCAGTTGTCCGCGGTCGGTAGGGCCCTGGCACTGGAGTTTATCTTGGGCCTCTTGGGGCCCTTCTTGGGGGGAGTTTGTAACTTTGATGGTGCTCCTTGGAGCCTCTTAAGGTCGTTCTGGATGGCACGGTGCTTCTGAGTGGTCTTTAGGGAGACTCTTGGAGAACTTCGGGCCGCATGGAAGCATCTGGCGGCGGCAATGTTCAGGCAACCACATGCGAACCCTACCCTGCAGGTCAGACTCCAGACATGCCAGCTGGGGTTCAGAATTCAAAGGATGTCTGCAGCGAGCCCCAGCGGGGGTGTCCGATGCCCCAGCGTCGATTGGACCCGCAGGGGTAGGGTTCGCACTTGGTCGCAGAATGTCTTCGCTGATTATGGTTTCTGCGGTTCCTTTTTGAGCAGGTTCTTGGAGCTCGAGGGCCTCTTATGTTGGCAGCGCTGGCGGACGCGAGCGCGACTGCAGAGCGGGCGGGACGCGCCAGGCAGTGGGCGCACCAGAGTGGGTGGAACTGCGTAAACGGCCGCGGAGGAGGCGGTGGGAAGGAGGCCCCAGCCGCCGAGAATCGGCGGGGAAGGCGCGCGGGCCCAAGAGGGCCACGGGAGGACCACAGGGGGGGCCCACGGACCTTCTCATCCTCCTCTCTCCGCCGTTCTCCCACGCATTCCTCCTCCTCGACACATGCCCCCTGTCGAAAAATATCAAACCGCCGTGTCCTCCCTCGATGAGCCATTTGAATAAGCACGTTAAACGCGAGGCTGCCGCAAAACAGAGCGTTCGCAGACACAGCCGCTGCACCCTCTCTCCCCCTTTCCCTTCTCCCCCCCTCCTCCTCCCTCCAATCTCTTGAGGACCCCCCCCCTCGAAGAGTCCTTTGTTTTTAGACCTCGCTTCGCTGACTTCGTCGGCGTCTGCGTCTTCGCTGTTCAGTAGCGTTAGATCGCAGCGCTGTGCAAACGCTGCTCTGCTCTGCTCACTCTTTCGCGTTTCGGGCGCGCGCCCCACGCCCTCTGAGAGCCTGGCCTCCAGCGCGCCCTCGCCGTTGCGGGGTTCGCCGTCGGCGCCCTCGAGCCCGAGCTTCTCCTCGAGGAGGCGGATTCGCTCCTGCGTGGAGTTGCTCACGGTCGTCAGGGCGCTCTGGATGCGGTCCACGTCCTCGCCGATGGCGGCCGCAGCCGCGGCCTTGCCCGACTCCTGGGCGTCGACCTGGGCCTTGGCCACGTCGCGGCTGAGAGACTGCACCGTGAGCTGCAGCATCTCGTTGTCCGCGATTGCCTTCTGCTCCAGCTGGCGGCTCCGGTACGCCTCCTGCTCGAGTCTCAGGACGCTGGCCCTGGCTGGCGGCCAACGGGCGCAGGGGCCCGAGAGAGGAGGCTGCAGCACGGACACGGTTGTGTATCCGCACTGTCTACCTCCCTCTTCCTCCTCCTCCTCCTTCTGCTCCTTCTCCTCCGTTTCCTGATTCTCCTTCTCCTTGTCCTTTTCCTTCCCCTTCTCCTCCTTCCCTCCTCCTCCTCATCTTCTTATTCTTATGACTATTATTCTTATTGTTCGCATCAGTATTATTATTGTTTCTTTTTATTCTTCTCATCATCTTTATTATTATTAGTATCAGCATCAGTATCGTTATGCTTATTATTATTATGAGTATATTAGTATTAATAGTATTAGTAATCGTACTACTGCTCTTCTTATTATTACTACCATTTATATTATTACTAGTATTATGCTCCTTAGTATTATTAGTATTAATATTAGTATTGGTATTATCATTCTTAGTATTAGTATTATTAGTATTCGTAATCTTAGTATTCGTATTATTCCTACGAATATTATTATTAATCGGTTTCTTATCATTATGAGTATTGGTCTTATTATCCTTAGTATGGCCATTATTATTATTCGTCGTATTCGTCTTAGTCTTCTTATTCGTAGTATTCGTATTATTCTTATGTTTCGTCTTATTATTGGTACTCTTATTATTAGTATGATTGTTAGTCTGATGTTTCATATTATTGATATTAGTATTATTAGTATTAGCATCACTCTTATTTTTACTGTCATTATTATTCGTATTATCATTCGTCTTAATATTAGTATTCGTGTGACTCGTCTTACTACTAATATCCCTCCTCCTCCTCCTCTTCCACATCCTTTCCCCGTCCACCTCCACCTCCTCCTCCACCTCCTCCTCCTCCTCCTGCTCTTCCTCCTCCTCCTCCTCCTCCTCCTCCTCCTCCTCCTCCTCCTCCTCCCTCCTCCTCCCTCCCTCCTCCTCCTCCTCCTCCTCCTCCTCCTCCTCCCCTCCCCCCCCTCCTACGAATCATTGGTTTTACTTAGGTGTTGGGCCAAGTATAGCCTCTGGGGGGGGGGGGGGGCAAGAATTGGGTCCCCCCCCCCCCCCCACACACTCCTCCAAGGTGGCCCCAAGGTGGCTCCCAGGGCTCCCAAAGAGGCGCTCAGGAGGCCCCAAGAGGCCCCCAAGGTCCCCGAGAGGCTCCTGAAAGACACCCAAGAAGCCCCAGGAGCCTCGCTCCTCCGAGGAGCCCAAGACGCTCCACGAGGGCCCTGGGACCGCCAAGGGGCCCCCAGGACGCCCCAAGAGGGCTCCAAGAAGCTCTCAAGAGCCATACGAAGAGACTACGAGAAGCATCAAAGAGGCCTCTCGCCGCTCTGTTCGCCCTCCTTCTCCTCCTCCTCCTCCTCCTCCGCCTGTTCCTCCTCCTCCATCCTCCATTCTCCCCCTTCCCCTCCCCCTCCCGCTCCGCCTCCTCCTCCGATGCCTTCTCCATCTTCCCCTCATAGGGTATGACGGCTTTCCCAGCGCTTTATTCCACAGCATGCTCCTCCACATCCATCAGGGCAACTCGCCTGGGCATTGTTTCTGGATGGGCTGGTGGAGTTATGCGAAGTGTCTAGAATAGAGTAGAGCAGAAAAGAGGAGAGTGGAGTGGAGCAGAGCATATTTAGGAGTAGAGTAAAGCAGAGGAAAGTCAGAGTAGGTTATGATAGGGAAGTGTAGGAGTAGGGTGTATGGTAGATGGTAGAGTAGAGTCGGCCATAACCTAGTAGAGTAGAGTAGAGTATAGTAGAATCCTGTTCAGTCTACTCCAGTGCAATATACTTCAGTCCGCTCGAACCCACTTCACTCCAGTCTTCTGATCCATTTGGAGTCTGCGTTGGCCAATGTCTTCGACCTCTCGGCTGGATTCGGTGGCACTGGTCTTCGCAATAAACTGATCCCTCCTCCTTCCCTGTCCCCTTCCTCCCTCGCCCCTCCATCCCGTCCCGTGCTGGAGGAAGAGGCCGCTTCAACGCACAAGGGGGAGGAAGGAAACTGGCCACAGGTGGAGGAGGAGGAGGAGGGGGAGGAGGCAGGGACAATCCATACCTCCTCCCCTCGCACCTTCCATACCCTCCCATCTCCCCTCTCCCTTCCTCCCACTCCTCCCCGGCGGCTTTGAGACCATAATCTAGGTGTCCGCCAATCGTACGGGACGCTCCAGGCACCCCCGGACTGTCTCGGCGAGACGCAATTGCTGAACAATCTCAGGGAACTCACGGAAACGTCCAAAAACACTCGAACCTCGAATCTCCGACCACCTCCGAAAGTGCTTTTTTGTTCCTCGCGATTGCATGCGTTACTGGCCCCGCCCCCGCCCCCGCCTCCCCTGGCAACGTCACGTTTCGCGCTGGCGCCATCTGGGGACGCCTGGGAATAGATAGCCAAGGGCAGCCAGGATCAGCATGTAGATAGAAGTCTTCCAAGGGTAATTAGCTAGGCACAGCGCAGGGGACTTATTAGAGCAGCCACGAGCAGCGGACGCAGCGCCTGTAAGCGCCTCAGTATGCCCTCGGGACATCCAGGGTACTTACACCATAGTGTTTGGGCCTGCGTGCACCACAGTGCGTGTTTACAACACGTGGCCTGCGTGAACTACAATACCACAACAGTGCCAATGTACACATCAAAGACTACGTACACCAAAAAGCCTTTGTACACAATAGCTGCTGCAGCGGCATCATTCGTGTTCATCACAGCGCTCGAATAGACCACAATGCCTGCGTACACCACAACGGCCGTGTGCACGACAGCGCATGCGTGCACGCAGCTCCTGCTTCAGATTCGTGGTCTGTGCGTGTAACACAGCGCCAATACACCACCGAGCCTGTGTACACCTCAAAGCCTCTGTACACCGTCAGGGTCTCGACGGGGCTGGAATCTGGAAAAGCGTGCGGAACCCGATCGTGTCAAACGCATTACGACACTTGTTTGTGCTTATTGACTTTTCTGGCCTAAGGTCTCCCCGTATCCTGGGCCCACGAACCCTCGCTGCCTGTATGCACCTCTGCGCTTTTGTACACAAAACTTATTGCGAAACCCCAGTTGTCTTCGTCGTCGTCGTCGTCCCGAACCACTCCCAAACTTGACGTGACTCGGCCCCTCCTCCACCCCCACCTGCCCGCCAACGGCCGTTGCCGCCGGAATGGCTCCTCCCAGCGGGGAAAAGAGGCCGGCCGCTTCGACGCGCGGGGAGGGGGAGGGGCAGCCCAGCCGCTGGAGGCTACCGCCGCCTTGCCGTGGCGAGACCCCCGCGTCCTGCAGCTGCGAGTCCTTGGCAGCCCGGCGCGCGATGCCCAGGGCAGGCCAAGGCCAGGGCGAGCGTTTCCCTCCTCCTGCCTCCTCATGCTTGCTCCTCCTCCTCCTGCTCCTCCTGCTCCTGCTCCTTCTCCTCAACCTGCTCCCCCTGCTCCTCTTCCTCCTCCTCCTCCTCCTGCTCCTCCTCCTCCTCTGCCTCCTCTTCCATCTCCTTCTCATCATCATCAGCAGCAGAAGCAGCATCATCATCATCATCATCATCATCATCATCAGCAGCATCATCAGCATCATCATCATCACCATTATCATCACCACCATTATCAGCGTGATCATCATCGTCATCGTCATCGTCATCGTCATCATCATCATCATCATCATCATCATCATCATCATCATCATCATCATCATCATCATCATCATCATCGTTGAAGCCGTCGTCGCCGTCGCCATCGTTATCATCATCATCATCAGCAGCAGCAGTGGCGGCAGCATCAGCAGCATCAGCATCACCATCATCATCATCATCATCATCATCATCATCATCATCATCATCATCATCATCATCATCAGCATCCTCGTCCTGCATCATTATCCTCTTCCTCCTTCTCCTCCTCCTCCTCCTTCTGCCTCCCAAACCCCAGCCACCATCAGGACAGATGCGAGCCAGGACGGTTTGGACGCCGTCTCATCGCAGGCGACAGATCACCCCAACTGAGCAGGATTCCTTCAAAAAAGATACTCCAACAAGGAATATGAGCATTGGCTTTCTGAGCGAGGATTCCTCGGCAAGATCGATAATGACCCGAATAACGGCTCATTGAATGATAATTCTTTAAGCACGGATTATTTCAGTCCGGATTCTTCTGGCTCTCATATTCCTAATGCTGAGCGCTCCTTCGTAGGAAACAAAAACGCGGAAACCAGAACATGTGAAAAAAATAAAAACTGGTAGTTTCTTTTACGATGGATTTCATGAATAAGAATTGCTCGGGTGGGGACTTATTTTGACGCAGTTGTCCTTCTGCGAGGATGTCAGTCGCGATGGTTCCAAAGTTAGGGAGGCTCTTTAGTAAGGACTCATTAACTCTATGGTAAGGGTTCCTTTGGCAAAACTAATGTTCGGAATGAGTCGTTAGATCAGGACCCCTTGTTAAGAATGTGAGCCAGTGTGGACACCAAACGGGGTGTTTCTAGCAACATCCGTTGTGCATTCTAGAGGTTCGGAAACGTCTCTCCGAACGCCACACCGAGGCCCCAACAACGCCCGAAAGACAAATGAAGGCTTCTGCGCCCAACCCCGTCCGCATCAGCGGGCGCGGTCCTGGGGCGATCCACTGCTTGAAAAGAAGTTTCATTAAAATAATGAATGGATGCTGTGAGAGGTGTGCCGAGAGCAGAGGCAAAGAGGGGGAGGAGGGAGGAGGGGGAGGAGGAAGGAAGGAGCTGGGACGTGGGGCGCTGTGTCTTCAAAAGGAGGAGGTTGGGAAAAGAATGAATGGATGGAGCCTGGTTAGGGCGATTCTGCGTGGGACGTCCCAACATCTACCTGGTTGGCCTCTGGTGTGGCTTGGTTTGGCCTGGCCTGGCCGCGCGCCCCACCTGACACCTCCTCAAAATGAACGCGGTTTGGCCACTGGTTTGGCCTGGCTTGGGCCCGGGTCGGCTTGAAACGGCTTCCGCATTTGCCAGGTTTCGTCCTGGTTTGGGCCCGATTGCGCCTGAGACGACCTCGAAATTTGCTTGGTTTCGCCGTGGTTTGGTATGGTTTTGGCCTGGTTTCGCTTGAGACGTCCTCACTAGTTGCGTGGTTTGGCCCTGTGTTGGTTTTGTTTCGGCCCACTTTCGCCTGAGACGTCCTCAGCATTTGCATATTTCCCCCCTCGCTTGGCAATGGCAGCGATGGAATGCCTGGCAAAGATGGAGTGATTGAGGCAACGCTACCAGCATTGATTGTCCTTTTCCCCTTCCCCCTCCTGTCCTCGTCCTCTTCCTCTCCCCCTCTTTCCCCCTCCTGTGGAACGCAAAAAAACACAAATGTGATTTCGCAGACACTCGCGTGCTTCTACGTGGCAAAAGCATTGATTTTTCAAGGCGCGGTCGAAGGACTGATGACCTGCAATTGCTACTCTAATGTGATATGTCTACTAAATTTACCCCATCCCCCGTTGCCTGTAGCAGGACACGGACTCTGTGCTGATCGGGGGTAGCGGAGCGGAGCCCCTCGCTTGGCATAAGTTTTGTTCCGTTTGGTTTGAAGCGTCCTCACCATTTCCGGTGGGACTTCGAGCTGGCATAGCACCCAAGAAAAATCATCGAATCTTTCTACCGTCGGGTATTTCCCTTTCTGGTCGCCATGCGGTTTCAAAAAGCAGAGGGATATGTCACGTTATCCCGGACACTGAACAGTTGAATAAAACACGTCGTGGTGGGCGTGTACGACCCGAAATAATGGCACGGCGGCGTGAATACCCATTGTGGCCAACCTGTAACACGATTGCGCTACAAAGTGACGGGCGGCATGGGCGAGGGCACTCCCAACACGTTGTGGATCGGCATGGGCGTGTGTGGCGGCGTTGGGAAGAAACCGTTCCGAGGCTGCAGGTGGCGCCAAATATATGTGGTGCATTTGATTTTAACAAACGAGTTGACACATCCCATGCTCTTGCAATCATCCCACCCACCCACCTGCAACGTGATTTGCAAAATCCATGCGGTGGCGATTGCGATGCACGCTTGGCGTTGGCTGGCGCATCTCTGCGGCCGCGCCAGACCAAGCACGCGCGCGCGCAGCGGCCAACTAGGTTGGCGCGACCGACGCGAGCGCGGTGGCGCTGACCGCTCGGCACATCCCAACGGGCAGTTCGGTGCGAATCGTCGACTTGGGCGGGCGCGGTATTTTGGCAACGTCGGCAACGGTAGATACGATGATGACCGTAGCGATGCTGGTGACGATGCTGATTGCGCCGTCGGGGCAACCAGTGACGGCGCCGCTGCTAATCACGCCGACGACGATGAAGCGTTTTCGCGTCGGTGGTGAACGTTTTGGGAAAAATCGAAATGCGCGCGCGGCAGACGCGCGAATATGGGCCGCATGGTATTTGTTGGGACGGATCGTGCCACCCCAGCACGCGCGCAAGGGCGTTCGAACGAATTCGAAATGCGCGCGCGAAACCCGTTTGGTAGCATGTGGTGAAAAATGTTGAAAACAGCCATGGTTCTCTTAAGGCGTCGTAGGAGCGCGCGCGAGCGAGTTTTGGGGGGAAACCCGTGTTGCGAAACCATGTCTTTCTGTGTTTTCGACACTCGATCTGGAACTCCTTATGACATCGAAGGTTCGCGATAGATCTCGGCATGCGCGCGCGACGACGCGCGCATGTGCACTTCGTCCTATCTATAGCAAGGGGTTCTTGAACACTTTTATTTTTTTATCAGCGAGTGTACGCGCATAGCTGTTCTTGCAAAGGCTGGCGGGGGGGGTCGATGCCGGTTGGGCAGGGATGATATACATTCATATCTAGGATCGACAACGGGGCAAAATCAGATGTAAAGTGCTCTACCTCTTCTTTCTTTTTGAATAGAAACTGCATGTGTGTTCGCACTGCGTTGTCAATTCAAGTGTTTGCGCACTCGTCCCACCCACCCACCTGAAACTTGGTTTGCAAAACCCATAAGGCGGCAAGTGCAATGCCTGCTCACTGCTGGCTGGCGCATCGCTGCGGTCGCGCTAGCGCGCGCAGGCTCGCGCGCAGAGCGGCCAGCCAGTCTGGCGCGACCGACGCGGCAGCGGTGGCGCTAACCGCTGGGGACTTCCCAGCGCGTCTCACAGGCCGCGATGACGCGCGGGCACTTCAGTGCGAGTTGGTGACTCGGGCGGGCGCGGTATCATGGCGACGTCGACACTGGCAGACACGATGATGATTGCAGCGATGCTGGTGTCGACGATGACGATGACGACGGCAAGACTTTTTTCCGTCGGCGGCGAGGCAGGGGCGGTCCGCTCCAGCGACTGGTACTTCGGGGCAACCGAACGGCTATTTAGCCCGCGTGCAACACAAGGAAAAGACTAGGGCGGCCGCGCAAAGGGCGGAGGGAGGAGGAGCAGTGCGGCCGCGCAGAAGGCGGAAGAGGAGGAGCCCTCAGACGTAAGAGACTTCTGCATCCAGCGGGCTGGGGCGGCCACCCGTGGCAGCGGCGACCGCGAGGACGCGCCCCACGGGCGCTGCCGGGGCTCACTGATAATGTCGGGCAAGTGGTTGCAGCTGCACAGGAGTCCATGGACCACCGACGCCAAAATGCTGTATCCACCAGGTGCGCTGGCTGTGTAAACTTGCGCCCTGGCGCAGCGTCCGCACCGGGGCGGCACCGGGGTGGAGTGGGGCTGCGTGCAGCGAGGCAGAGCCATCCATGGCGGTGCGCGAGGAGGGAGGCAAGCGGGCGAGGGCGAGGGGGAGGGAAGGAAAGAGGACCGCCCCGCCCGCGGGAGACCCCCAGCGGTCGGGGCGGCACCAGCACGCAGACTAGCGCCGGCGACGTGGCAGAGCGTGGGGAAACCCACGGCTGAGGCGACCCAGCGGGGCCAGAGTGGCGGCTGCGCTGCGGGGCGGCAAAGCTGAAGCCGTCGGGCCAGTGGGCCGTCCCAGCTCGGCCGAAGGCTCCAAGGGGGCCCTGGTATCCTCCGAGTCGTCGTCGTCGTCGTCGTCGTCGTCGTCGTCGTCGTCGTCGTCGTCGTCGTCGTGCCAGAACTCCGGCCTCTGGCGGCCGTTCGGGACGCTCTGGCCTCGCCGGCGGAAGTCCGCTTAGAATGGATCGCCGGACTCCATCTTGGAGATGGATCGCCCCCCCGAGAACCCGTGTGGGGGGGCCTTCAAAACTTTGCCCGACCGAACCGTGTGCATGCTCTGGGAGACCCCGAAGGACCACTGTGAGTCAAATTATGTCGGCCCTATTGTGGCCGCGCTGGCGCGACAACTTGCCGGCGGAAACCGTGACACAGCGCAATGCCGTGCGGCGCGTGA